ATGAAGACCTAAGTAGGGTGAATGTAGAAGTGCTGTCAACCCAGAAAAGAATCAAAATCAGAGAGGAGAGAAGGTGCCTTTGTTCTTCCTCAGTGGTGTTGGGCAATACACAATGCTACTGTTATTGGTCTAAGTAATTTGGCCAATTTCAAACATGCCCACTGTCTGATAGTTCCACAGCTAGTGTGTGTACTTAGCTACTAATAAAAAGAGGTCAAATAATAAATGCTAGGACTCAGTCCTTGCCATACCTGAGGGTATGGATTCATATATAATGATTTGAAGCAGGAACTGGATTTGTATTAGCAGTACAAGGATGATTTGTGCTACTAGGTATTTCAGCCTTTGTAAGTCTTTGTAAACATGCCCACTGTAAACTAAACGACTCCTGAATGCTCAGAGTGGAACATCCAAGTAGTTAATAAAACTGGGCTTCCTACACTAGATTCTGACTACATGCAACTGAGGCAAGAGTGCCTGCCTATAACTGCAGAAAGATTGAAACAATTACTTTGACAGGACAATATCATGGTTAAGCTCAAGAGAGTAAGGAGGAAGCCAATCCTATGCCAGCACCTCAGTTTAGGAGAAGACAAATGCAGTAGGCTTGGCCTATTCATTCGCTTAATCAGATATACCTGTATTACTGTGGTCATGTACCGGAAGCCCCTTGTTGCTACTGTTACTGAAGTGAAGGGGGAGCCAGTTGTGCTAGAGCTGCTCCCTTCAAATAAGCTGGACCACAGTGCAGAGGAAGAGGCACAAGGTACATCATGCTGTGGTGTATTGATGGACTCAGATTGTTTGAACCGGGAAACTGCACTTGAGAGACAGATAATGACACTGCCTTAGCCATTGGCGCCTGAAGACACTCTGCCAATTAAATTCCAATGCTTCCACTGATATAGGAGAAGCACAATACAAAGCACTCTTCCCACATCATTAGAAAATGCTTGTGCAGTTCCAAAAGTGGGCATGCCCAGTCTTTAATTTCTCTGTTTTTCTGTGCCCTTCAGCCAAATTACAATAGCCATTTGCTCAGGTCCAGGGCTCCAGCACTCCCCCAGTCTTTTTTGACACTCCTGTGTAGGGTGAGCCTCATTTTACCAATAATGTATGTTCTGCAAAGGAGTGCCAACACTGAACATTCATTGCACCATCTAAGTCCTCCAAACAGGTAACCACACAGGAAAGAAACAGAAAAGAAAATGCCACTCAATAATCTGGACTTGTATGCAAATACTTCTTTGAAGCCAGTTATCAGCAAATAAATAGCTTACAACTGCACAAATATAAACAATCTACAGAAGTGTAAACGAAATCTCTAAAATTAATTTGCATTGTACACACAAGGATTTGCGTGTTAAATATAAATATGTATTCCTCTACCACAATACATTTGTAATATACAGGCCTTATTTCTGACAGATATCACATCCATTTTGCTATTTAAAGCAACTTAGTACAGTATTCATTGTTTATTAATGGATTTTTTCTGTAATTTCCCCCTAAGCTCTACCTTGAAGAACTATTTACAAAGAACATCACCTCTGGAGAGATTTTAAAAAACATATAAATTACCCAGGCTCATACAATAGGCAGAAAAGGCAGAGTACCTTCATATTTTCTACGGAAATCATTAACATTCTACAAAAAGCAAGGGAGAGAAGAGCAATTAAAAAGACATTAGAAAAGGGGAATCTAAATAGTACTGAATTCCTACAACACACCCCTCAATCAAACAAATGTTTAATATTTTGTTTCCAGCTATTTTACCTGATAACTATGTTTATTTACTGTCTTATACTAAAGGCATTTTTTTTTTATTAGCATATGCTTATAGTACGGTGGTAAATATAAACACATAGGCAAATAAGTCAACTCAGGGCTTATCTAGAGGCTATTAAGCATTTATAATATGCTATATGAAAGATTTACAAAGCCACAGGCTTATCTGGGACTGCTGTGAAATGCAGCTCTCTCCACTGGGTTTAATGGAGAATCATGTGATGTTCTCAGAGGGGTAAACTCAAAGCTTGCTTATAAACCATGTCTTAAAAATACATGCTTTAAAATTTACTGGGGGAAGGGCTTCACGTTAACTGTAATTATGGCTTGTAATTGCCCACTAAATTAAAGAAAGACACTTTTCATACCCACACTCTGTTAGTTACATAAAATCTACAAGTGTTTTATGAGTCTCCTTTAAAATAGCAATTAGTATATTAGTGCTTAAAAACAAGTTTGCCTTTGTCTGGGACTTGTTACTTCTAATAAGCTCACATAATTATTCCTACTATTTTGGAACAAGTGTCACTTCACTTGTTTAATCCTTGCTGCTCACACATGGCTAACTGGATTTGAAATTTTCCTATGATTATTTAATTATTTGTCATCAATTAAACTAATTTACACTAGTGCAAGGAGAATGTAAAATGCTATTTTTCAAATCTACTTTACCCAGATGGTACAGGAAAATGGAAAAATCAAGCCACCAAAGTATTCTATTAGATTTATGAGATGCATTAGGATGGAAGAGAAATTGATTTGAGGGGAGAATGTTATTCAGGGGTATCTATGTTTGTAGTTTAACACAAAAATAAGGAGGAATGCTATCTTATTTTCTTATCCATTTTTATTGGAATGATTACTAATGTATAGGGTGTGGAACTTTCCAGAGACTGCTTATGACTTTTCAGCTTAGAAAAAAAATGTTTGGGAGGGGAATGGGGGGTGGGGTGGTGGAGAGGAAGGGGGGAGTGGGATATATTATTTACTATTTCTCACAATCCTAGATCTAGAGGACATAAAATTAAAATGTAGGTTGTAGGTTTAACATTTTTTAAAAAGGAAGTTCTTTCTCACATAGCAAAATAACTAACCTGTGGCATTCATTGCTGCAAGAAGTTGTGGAGGCTGGTAGCTTAGCCCATTTCTAAAAGGGTTGGACCAATTCTTGGAGGAAAGGTCGATCAGCAGGTATTGAACAGAATAGGTAAGGTTGAAGCATCTGAATTCTGGGCATAATATCCTATATGTTTTAAACTTAAGGGACATAAAGAATTTTGGTTGGGATAATCTGCCGTTCTTGATGGATGAACAAGATGACACTTGCTTTACATTGAAGCCATTATTAAACCATGGACAGAATAGATTACAGCTTCAAAACAAAGGGCATCTATACATGTGCTCCAAAGTGGAGAGTGGGGGTGGCGGGGGTGCGGTGCTTTAATTACAGCAACTCTGAGAGCCACTCTAATTAAAATGCCTGTAGCATCATGTGTATTCAACGTACCATGCTTCAAAATGGTGGCAGGGGTACTTAAATAAAGCTCGTTTGACGAGCTTTAGTTAAGGCACCCCCAGTGCCATTTTGAAACGCAGAAATGCTGAATGCATGTGATGCAGAGACTGCTGGAGCATGCTAACTAGCACGCATCAGAAGATTCACAGCGGGCTCAATTAATCAAGTCTGCTCCACCACATGCATTGGAGCAGAACTCCGGTACATGTATGGGTGCCCAAAATCAGGAATAAAATTGAGTTGAATTCAATGTGTAAGAAATTTTAAATTATTTTCATGAGATTTTAACTAGAAATTATGAACATTCACAGATAGCTGACTCACCAGATTTCATTACTTGGTTGGGGGGGGGGGGGGGAGCGGGGGAGCTTCAGAGACTAGCTGCCCTCATGATTCTTCCAACAATTTTACCCAACTCAAAAGAAAACAGCCTTCAGCTATATCCAGGTTGGAAATAGATCAAATATTTTTCAAGCCCCAAACCAAAACCATACTGGCAAATTAGAGTCTGGAAATTTATTAAAACAAACACATAAATGAACAAAATTACGACGTTGTTGACATACTTTGTGACACGCCCTGACTCTGGGTTTCAGTTAGATGCACTTTTAGACAAGGTTGTTTGCACACTTTCAGAATTGCCCTTCAGTTCCAAACCTCTCTCTGCCATCTGCTACTTGGCCACTGAGAGCAGGATGAGGTGCTCCAAGGTCATGTTCCTTACCTATGGAGCCCCCACAGTGGGGATCCTGCTTCTTGCCAGTGTAGGGGGAGTCCAGGATCAGGGTTCCCCTGCACCAGCAATAAGGCATGATGGGATCTAGTGCACAATTGTGTGAATCATGCATTAGACCCCATCACGCCTTCACCTGCACATGGAGATGGGGCCCAGAAGTCCTTCCTGGTCTAATTATAACCAGTAGAATAATTACATCCTTTCAGACATATCCCAAGGATACAAGTTCATATTTAATTTCCCCACTGTGAGAATTGTCTTTTCCTGAATAGACTGAGTATCCAGGTGTTGTTCTCCCTACAGGCCTCTCCTTTTAAAATGTAAATTCATCAGTGTCTGGAAGGGCCTAGTTCAAGGGCCTCAGACCATATTTTCAATGGTCTATATGACTGGTCATTAAACATGTCCATATCAGATGTTAATTCTCAGAAATTATTTATCTCAATGTGAATAGGGCAAGAACACTTAAGTTAATTACTGCCCTACTGAACAGTCTCAGCCAAAATATAAAACAGAAAATTTACATTCATATCACTTAGCATAATTTATCCAGTCATGATAATGATAAGGATAAATCCAATTTGAAGCTACCTATATGTGAAGACTATGAATGCCATATTAGTAAAACAAACTCAAGAAAAACATACATGACATCCCATGAACACCACATGTATTGTGGGTTCATGATGCTTATTTTGAAATATTTCATAATTCACATTTTTACATACATACAGATTGTGAAGTTTTTTATTATGATATTACCTGTACAGAAGATGAGACTATAAAACACTGTGTAGTGTATCGGAATGAATGCAGCTGAAAATGCATTGATATGTAAGGCAGGTAGAGCACAATGAAAATGATATCAATCACAGCAGTGTCTCTCTCAGCTTTAAGAAACTGCTAAATATAAATGTTCTAGCTGAGGGTCAGCGTGCTGGAACAGCTGCAGCAGGGTGGCATGTTGTAGCAACCAGTTCAAGGGTGACCAGGTGCACTGTTGAGGTGACTTGTTGCTAGGACTTCTGGGATGGGACATTGACTACATTCCAGTGGGAGTTCCCCCTAGTTGATTAACGGAGGTGGCGTTGCCAGTGTCCTTGGAGGAGACCATATTTTCTGCCTGCTAAGGGAAAGGGGGAATTCTGCAGATGTAATCAGAAGAAAAATTGATGGGGTGACAGTGCTGTGATGTGTGAAACAAGCAAGAAGAGAAAAATAATACCATTAATAAAAATAAAAGGTTTTTACGAAAGTGGAATACACTAAAGAGAATAGGCATTCCAGCAATTATACAACCTGCTCTTCAAAATAGATTTAACTTTAAAATACTTGGCAATTGACTCCTAGAATAACATCCTAAGATATAGGCTCTTGCCTTTTATATTTTAAGAACTTAAATAAAATGTACCTATACTATTAACAAAAAACTGGAGTTTATATTTTAACTTTTTTTTTTTAAACCAACCAACCAAACAAACAAAAAAATCACTAAATGTTTTTGCTTGCTGGAAAAATGATACATAATCTTATTTTCTTGTTTAGTACCCACTTTATAAATCACATTTTTTAAAGAATTATACAAAAAGGGTACCACTTAGCACAATTTTGTTACTGTTGGTCCAAACACGCAAAAAGGAAAGATCAGTCAACCAAACAAACATCATCAACATGCATTCTTCTTAATTTGCAAAATTATACAGTATATTTGGATTTTTTCCCCCTTCTTGAGCACCATCTGCAGTATTTCAACCATGTAAAACACTTTTTAGTGCCATAGGGAGCCTTATATAATTTGCATTAAGTTTCCCTGAGAGTGGTGCAAACGGTTTGTTATGACATATTTAATCAAGTTAACTCCTATTAACTCTTAAAGCCAGCACAGGAAATACTTATATGGTACAGAACTATGTATTTCCCTTCACTAAAAATAATCAGAGAAATCTCCTAGCCTAAGTTAAGCATAACTTACTGGCTAACCAAGGGAAATGACTGGAGACAGTCTAAACATCTAACTTCTACAGGAAATATTTGGATTTATATTTGTACCAAATGGATCAATTCCAAAGTAAAACAATCTTAATTCAGGACTTCTGCACACAGTGCAATTTTCTACATTGTAAGCCAGGGTTTCAACATACTGAAAATGAAACGTTTTTAAAATCTCATTTCAAAAAAGCATTTGATGCTTAAAAAATTGATATTTAAAAATGTTTTTGGGGGTGGGGGGGGGGAGATTAAACAAAAGAATGTGGTCCTGGTGTGGGCCTCTGAGAGAGAGAGAGAGAGAAAGAGAGAGAGAGAGTACACTGTCCTCCTCATGGGCTCTAGGTCCTTAACATCACCTGAAGTGTGAGGCTTGTACTCTTGCTGTTACCTGCTCTGTAGTACATTTAACTATTTAGTGTTGTTCAAGTGACATGGTCATGCTAACATCACTGGCACATAACTATTCCTTACCAATAAGGAAAGCACACCTTACTGTAGGTTACCAACCTAGACAGCCACAGCTTTTGTTCTAGGCTCAAACAGAATTTGTTGTAAGTAGTTCAATTTCTCCCTAAGGCTAAGTACAGACAGTCAAAAAGTCTAAGGCTGAATTGATTCAATCTTCAAAGGTTAGTCTAAGTTTTGTAGACTGAACCGATAAGCAAATGAACAGATATTCACTTTTGACTCTAGAACTGCAGCCACGTGCCTGCAATGATGTAGGCCACAAGCTGGGGGAAGCTATAGCACACCTCCCTGTTCAGCTGGAGCAGACAGCTTGGGCTAAGGCTAACCTGCCCATCCTGAAAGAGGGGACTTGCAGGGGAGGTACAAAGCATCCTGGCATGCTGGGGGACTGTGAGTTAACTTGATCTAGAGGAAATCTGGGACAGAAGTTCAATAAACTGATTTAACCTAAATCAGTTAAGAGTGATACTACAGCCATCTTGGTTTATCTTAAACCAGTTTTGGCCATTTTGGAAGTGGTTAATTTCTGTTGTGTTATAGAATTGAACTGGTTTCTGATCACTTATACCAGTTTGTGTGTAACATCTGTCCCTAGCCTAAATGTTGCTACAGACTGCGTCAACCATTCAAAGCAATGTAAATGGTCAACAAGGATATACAATATACAGGGATGCTAGAAACACAGTAAGTCAAAGAAATTGTCTCCCTGTAACTTTCTG